CCCTCTTAAGTATGGGGGTGGCAATATGTCGGGTCAGGTCGGGTCGGGTCCGGCCGGATCTAGAAACATACCTGGCTCAAAAATAAAAATATATACTACAATATATTTAAATATTATGTTAAATATATACATGTATCATTTAAATATTTTAACTAAAAATATATGATTATATTAATGTAAATATTATTTAAATACTATTTAAATATGGGTGCGGTTCGCCTAGGCTCTAAACAATCAAATTAGAGCCTACCTTCAAATAGTATCGAGAAATGTGGTTTCAATACTGGAAATCTTTGTGATAGCCTTAAAATGTATTTTTATCTTTATTTATAAAGTTTAAAGCTTCAAAAATAATGTAGATCGACAGATCTATGAAAACTTGAAAATCTTGAAAATTGACGGTCCAAAAATGCATTACAAAATACATTATTTACACAACTTGAAATCCCTTTTTTTCTCATGTCCATGCATCTTGATGTTGAGATGATCAATTTGACGATATTTGAGCATCAAAACAACCTCCTCTAGTGAAATTTTTGAGCTAGGCTCTAATTTGATTGTTTAGAGCCTCGGCTCTATATACACTTTTTCCTTTAAATATTATATAAATAATAATACTTTTCGGTTTAGATTCAGATCAGGTCATCATGGACCCAAACCCGGACCCCAATAGTGTTCAGGTCAAATATTTAGATCAGGGCCCGACCTGCCGGTCCAATTTTTGGACCTATACTCGGACCCAGGTCAGGTCTGGTTCATTGCCACCCCTACCTACGTAGGGTCAACACTTGGGTGGCAGATTAAACTTTTGTACCATACCAATGGAGTGGCACCGCGGACCTCAATAATAATGTGATTATCATATTTGCTAAAAAAAAATTAGTTTTTGCCTCAATGGCGTAATTGTAACTACGGGATATAATTTTGAACTAAAATACAAGTAATTATAGTGATCGAAACATCTGTCTCTTTATAGCTTGTTTGGATGAACTCGTTGTCATTAATAATTTTAGTCTTCTAACAAAATTACTTCTCAAAATGAATTATACAACTGTTTAGCAGCATCCCTTATAAAATAATATATGATAAACATGTCTAAGTTTATCTTTATTTTAAGAGTTTTTTTAATTTTATAATAAGTAATTTATTGAAAATCACATGTTTTTAGCCATAAATAACTAAAAATAGCTGAAAATCACCAAAATCAATTACGTATATAGAAAGTATGTACAAAGCAGCTAAGAAAATAATATTAGGGAAAATATCTCCATACCCCCAATTTTTTAGTTTCATTTCTCACTATACCCAAAGTTTTAGAATATATCTTGATGCATGGAGATGCCATGTACTATTTCTTAAAACCCCTTAAGCCCACTTTAAACACTTTGACTCTCTTTTTTTACCCTAAACAAATTTTAAAAGACAAATCTTTTTATTACACAACTCTCTCTCCATTTCTCTCGCCACGTGTTTCTCAAACCCCTCTTTATTTATTTATTTATTTATTTATTTTTGCATAAGTAACCTCTCTCTCTCCATGTATACAAACATCCACCGACTCTCTTTCTCCCTCTACTTTCTCTCTCATCACGCGGCCGAGGCAGCCTCGAAAGATCGAAATTTAAGCTAATTGAGCTCTTAGTCTGCAGTAGCTTCCCTTCCGTTATTTGATTAAAATCCTGAATTTTACATCTCCTAAGCTCCACTTCAAATAAAAGAACATTACAATCTTTGTTTATGGGTTTCAAAAAACCAGGATAAAAGTAGTCATGATCTATCTCTCTACTATGAAGATAGCAAACCAGTGATTCACTTATGATTTCAAACACAGGGGCTATTGAAGCCTTGAGGACCGAGTTCTTGAAAATTAAGCGGCAAGCGACTAGAGAGAGAAAGCCTCACATGATATACACCACATTCCCAAGCTATAGGTTCTGATGAACCCACATTCCAACCAGAGGCCTAACACTAACGAGAAAACGACAAAGGGCTTTATAAGAAGCCATGGAATTTCTCCATAGGATCAAATCATCAGCTTTCAGAGCACCCAATCTCTCGCACTGAGAGAATCAGACCTTATCAGAAATGGCAAAACCAGTGAGGCTTTTGCAACACAAGCTAAGGTTACAGACATCTATGGGGCAAAGAAATTTTGATATCACAGCAAACACATTGTCTGGCAACGCTTGGAGGAAGCTCGAGCTTCAATATTGGGAAGCAAGCTCTTCATGGATTCCACTTTTTAGAGGACCACCATAGCTAAGAGAAGGAACTGGCTTCTCTTGTAAAGGGCAAGCCATGGCCGCCATGTCCTACAGTCGAACCAGTAAGAAGACCCTCAAAGAAAACCCATCAAAGAATTGTGCATTCGCGTTTCAAATTCTGAACAATTATTCACATTTCATCAAATTTATAGAGGAACCCATCAAAATAAAGTTTCAAATTTCAATCTCTTTCTCTCTCAAACAGTGAACCCCATAAACCTAGGTGAAAGAACACTATCTTCTTCTCTAATCTCGATTTAGAAAGAAATACAAATTCATGCAAGACTAGAAGAAAGCCACAAACTTTGCCTACCACTATAAATCCAAAAACCACCCAAGATTCAGCCGCAACTGGAAAAGTGTCCCAACTCAGGTTTCTCTCTCTCTACCTCAGATTGAGCTACTCCAACAAAACGAGATCCAAGTCTTGCTCTCTCTACTCCTAATCCATAAACTAACCATGATTTTATAATCCTACTTCCTACAACTCCATAGCCACAATCATAGGTTAGACCACCATCCTGCAAAAGCTCAAAAACAAGAGAGAGAATCTAGAGATAGTAATAAAGTGAGATGAAATGAAAGGGACCTCTGGCGTAAGAAATTGAAGAAACACGGGGTCTTTAGAGCATCAACGGCCTTATATAGAAAAAAGATCGAGTTCCACTGTGAGCAGCCAGCGATTGAGGTACCGGAATATTTTTAATGGTGGGTTACAGAGAATTCATGACCCACATTCGTGTGTTTTTAGAGAGAGAGGTTACTTACCGAGAAAAAATAGAGTGAGAGAGGGGTTTGGGAAACACGTGGAGAGAGAAAAACGGAGAGAGTTTTGGGTAATAAAAGACACGTCTTTTAAAATTTGTTTATGTTAAAAAAAGAGAGTTAAAGTGACTAAAGTAGATCTAAGGGGTTATAAGAAATAATACATGGGATCTCCATGCATCAAGATATATTCTAAAACTTTCGGTCTAATAATAAATGAAACTTAAAAACTGGGGGTATGGAAGTATTTTCCCATAATATTATTCAAAGTATATTAACTTCAAATAGAATTGTCTACTCCAAATAAGATTAACTATTATCCAAATAGCACTTTAGACAAGTATATATTTTGCATAAGCAAAACTGCATCAGAGAACATTGCGGGAATATACAATAAGACTACAGAATCAGTAACAGGAATCAGTAGCAGATGCGTATCATCGACTGTGCCCAAGGTCCAAAGAAGTTTCAAAACTACGTGCAGAGAAATGACACTCCCTAGGTAGTTTACATATGACGGCCTGGGGCATTTGTGACTTTTCTATAATGGTAATGGTCTCATTTGTATTGTTTCAATGCCACCAAGCCAGCTGAATCAAATGTTTCTTCAATAAGTAGTTTAAACTCTGTTCAGTGTTCACAACACCATACTGAAATCCACTATGTCCCAAGTTGATTCCCACTACTAAGCCACCCCACAGAAAACATATACTAGACTAAGATCCTCTCCCAAAAATGGGCTAGGTTAGCATGCTTTGCTTTTTGGGGCAAACGTCCAGAGTTCGGAACCTTGACCTCCCTCTCGCAAACCCATATATGTACCACTAAGCCGAAGCATGAGGGACAACCGTGGTCCTCTTTCATTGCATCTACTCTTAGTTTCAAACATGAATTTTTGTGTATCAAGACTAAAAAAAAGAGATCAACAACAATGAAAAAAATGACAGTGAAACTTAATTATACCTTGTCCAAACACAACAACCACTAATCAATGTTCGTTCCAAAACCACCTTGCTTATTTCTGTGTTCTTAGCTTTTAAAACACTAGATTAAGCAATATCATTTTTCAAAATACAGAGCATGCTGAGAACTACAGCTAGGGTTGGAGCCCTCAAGGAAACTAACAGACCTGATGGGTGATGCTGGACCTTCCTCAAAGATGAGTAGTACAAGCACGAAAAATAGGGATGAAGGGCTTATGTTTTGTAGCCTAAACTACAGTATAGTTGCCAAATAGTGTTCAGAACTTTTAACTCATGACCCACTGCAACTAAAGCATTTTCTTTTCATTGTTTTGCATACATCATCAACTACTCGACTCAATTCCCCTCCCTCCCCATATCAGGTCATAACATGCTTTAGTACAAATCTCAGCATAGCATTTTCCCAGGGGAAAAATGTTCTACTTAAAACAAAATTGGCTTAGCCTAAGTAAACCACATGATTAGAATATGACTAATGAAAAACTCTTTGGACCATAGGAAATGGTAAATGATCACAAATACTGTCGAAAGACAAGCATAATTCCCAATGGAATTCAAAGCTCGCCATTTCAGTTTGCAGCTCTCTCAACTGTGGTAAGATTCATGCCGGTATGGTCTCTGAATAACAAATTGAGAAGGCCCTCTTCCTTGAATATAAAGAGCAATCTGTTGTTGTAAGAAACCGTGAATGAACGGTCAACTAGAAGATAATTTGACTGAAAATTCGGTACCATGACTGTCAATTATCATTAAGAAAACACAAAGTGCCACTTCATTTTAACAACAAAAGGAGCAAAGGAGGTACAAGCTCATTTTCCAAGTACTTCGAAAGAGCGAAAAAAGGTACATGAGATAGCAATTAAATTAAAAGCCCAATATGGAGATGGAAAATCTAAATATGTAGATCCAGAACAATAATTGATAAAGAACAGTGTTTACTTCTGGTCCTCTCATAGTTTCTTCAATTAAACCTGCAAACAATTAGAAGGAAAGAGAACATGACAGGTCCATAAATTAATTAAGTTTGTATGCAATGTTGACAGGTTGAGAAAAAATTAAAACCCAACTGCCAAAATTTGACAATAAATAAGGACAAGAAAAAAAATCCCATCCTCCAATTCAGCATCATCTTACAAGTAAAGTAGTGAGTAAAGAACCAGATATCTAAAATCGACATTTAAGAATCTTACGATTCCGAAATAATTAGTGAGAATAGCTAGACTACTCTTAAAATTGTCCAACCTGGCAACCTCAATGCCTCAAGACTTATTCTGAGCTCTTCCCCTGGTTTTCAACTTGGGTCTGCATATCAAGGTTTCTCGGAGCATCTCTCTCTTCTTCGGCAACCACCAAACCAGAGGCTTCCAGATCAGCATTTCTATTACTCTTTGATATTTCTATCTCATGGCTTAAAGTTTCTATCTTTGAAGTTTCATTCCCTAATTGAGATGGAGCCCCATCTCCCTCTGGAGTCCCATTATTGGCTGGAACCCCCGAACCACTTGTCTCATTATCTGGAGATGAGTTACCCATCGTCTCAGTTCCATTTTGGTTATCAGGAACAGAAAGTGATGAAACATTTTGAGACATATCACTGGACATGGTTTCTTGTTCCAAAACTACTAATTGGTTTTGGGCACTTGTGTCATTAAATGAAAGTTTTCCAATCTCCTCACCATCTCTTGGAACCCCATTCTCATCAGAGAAATCATGTGTTTTTGTTCCTTGATCAAGAACAGCTTCCTCTGTTGCATTGGACTGCAAAGGGGATTCATCCGTAGTTAGTTTAATGTAACTCTCATCAGAAGATTTTTCAGACTTACCTTCTTCATTTGAACTTTCTTTGGCCTGAGGATTATCTGAAGATCCAGCTTCTTTGCCATCTCCTATTTGAGCTTGATTCGTGTCTTCTCTCTCTGAGATGTGTGGTTGATCAGAAGACTTTTGTGATGCCTCATCATTACCCATACTTCCATTATGGGTTTCTTTCTCTTTAAGAGTATCTTCTTTTGGACCCACATTTTCGGTCTGGGTTTCTGCGTCATCATGGACTACTTCTTTCGGGGTACCATTCTCTTCCCCAACTACTGTTTGTGCAGCACTCTTATTTTCCCCCTCTCCATTTTGTAATTCTTCAGAGGTCTTCTGAGATTCATCCCCATTGACAACAGTTTCAATATGACTTTCTCTTTCTTGAGGGTGTTGTTCTGTTGAACCATTATTTCCTTCCACAACACCCTTTTGGGTATCACTCTTATTTTCTGCTCCTTCATTGATTACCAGTTCAGAGGACTTCTGAAGTTCATCTTCATTACTCATGCTTTTAGTCCATGTGTCTCCTACATGTCCGTGTTCTAAACCCTCATTTTCATTATGAGTTTGCGTCTCATGCACATGCTCCTCTGAACTTTCATTTCCCTTATAAGTTTCTCTCTTACTCTGATTTTCTCTTTCATCATCAAAATGTTTCTCCAAACTCTCAAGTTCCTTTTCTTCATTATGTTTGTCTATCTCATCATCTCCACCCCCTCCATCTTCAGTATCATTTTCACCAGGTTTAGTATCTCCCTCTTGTTCATTTATTCCCTCTCCAGCTTTATCATCATCTAGTGTCAAATGCTTTGACCCTGGTTGCTCTTTACGCCCAACAAGGATGATGCCTTCATTCTCACTATCTTGGCTGAGTTTTAGGTTAGTCTGCTGATCACTATTCCTCTTCTGATTGGAATGTTTGAGTTGATAAAGCAACCATATCGATACAGCAAGCAGCAAAGCTATTTGAAACGCATGTTTAACTTTCCATCCCTTGTTTCTTTGGTTTCGGCTGGAAGGTTGGCGAAACATAGTAATATAAAAGGAAACCAGAGATGAAACACAAACGGTTTGGCCTGAAGAGGGAAAAAAAAGGAACCCATTATGAACAGTAAACAGAGCATCAAATTCAGAAGCAGGCTCCTAAAGGCAACATGCGCATATGACCAAGCATAATCGCGTGTACGTGCACATACACACACTCAAACAAAAGGGGAAATCAAATAGGGTTATGACTTTTAAATTTCTCGCCACTATTATTTTGGTCCAAATTTCCTACAACATCTCCCTCTCTTTATCTCTCTCCCGAAATCCTCATCCCTAAAACCTCTACTTAAAGAAGTTCTTTGATTTGTTATCTAAATCTAATATAAAAGTTGTCAAAAAAAAATTTCCTCAAAAATATCTTTTATATCCTGATTTTAAAAAAATCGATTATGGAGATGAAATAGGACTAAGGAAAATACTTAATGCAAAAAAAAGAAAATGAAGCTTTAAAAATCTGGGCTCTTATATAGATAACTAAGGGAGGCGTAATATAAAAAGAGGTAGTCCATACGGCGAATGATCATCAGATGAAATGGACAACGATGGAGAGAATTAAAGTAACCTTGGGGTCATGCCATCCTCTGAAGGGTCCCACTCCTCTCTCCATCACATGTCATCATATCATTGGATGGTCATGAGTCATGACCACAATGGACTCTGTGTTATGCAGTCCACGTGATTATAGTATTATACTTTTCCTACATTAATCCACCCAGTTTCAGCCAAAATAATGGGGATCACAAGTGTCACCATTTCTCCCTCTTCAGCTTAAGCCTTGCGGGAGAACATTCGCACATATAGTTTTTTTATGCTGTGGTATGAATACTTATTGTCAACTTGTGACCAATAACATGAATTTTTAAGAAGTCTAGAATTCAGGATTTCATAGGTAATTTGTACAATCATATGCCTTAAAAGGAATTTCAGTGGTCTTTTAGAGCGAATATGATTGCCACAATTCAGTAATTAAACCATTTCAGTAAGAATTTATAGAACAGATTATAATCAATAGAGTCATTAATTTAGTTTCATGTTAAGGGTAATAAGCAAATTTAACAAAAGAATACCTGGGGAAAAGAATACCGATACTGCAACTGCTGACTAATCTGATTCATAACACACACAAATTATAGCCTCTTAAGCTCAGGTACCTGAAAGTAAAATGACAAGTTGTAACCCTCCATCATGAACTGATTCAAACATATCAATGCAGAAGTCTGAGAACATGTACAAATCACTATTTACCATAAAAATAATACTAATGAAGAATAGAAGAGAAAAACTACAGTTTCGTTGAGATTTCCATGCAGAGACCATAACTACTTTTACACCACAGACACAAAACCAATAAAAATTTCTGGATCCGTAACCACCCAAAAAGAGAAGAAAATAAACAATACTAGAAATCTAACCATTTTCTAGAAAAAAATAACAAATAAAAGGATAAAGATGAATTGATGGAATAAGAAAGAACAAAAGAAAAAAGAAAACATTTTCTGGAAATCTAGCCAACCAAAAAGAAAAAAAAAAACAAATAAAGAAAACATTTTCTGGACATATAGTCAGGAAAAAAAAAACAAATAAATGAAACCAATTGCACAGATCAATCAAAGCAAGGGTAAAGATACTAGTGATATCACTCTCCTTGCACAGGGATGAAAAGAACTTGGTTAAGTCACTACTTTCCATCATAAAGCATACCAAAACAAGCTCAAAAGCAGGCCTTACCAGTACTTAGTGCCAAAAAATACAAATAAAATTTTTGGATTCTAAAACTTGGACTCAATTTAATTCAAAACTGAAATATCCACCAATAATGAACTGCATTTGAACAAAAGGGAACAACAATGTACCTATTAAAAAAACCAGAAATTGAGGATGGGAGATTTTAGAGAAAATTTATCAGATTTCAGAAAATCTGAATTCAAAATTCATCCATTATTTGAATTTGGACAAAAATAGAACACAATAAAGTCCACTAGAACAGTCAGAAAAAGGATGAAGATTGCAACTTATACCTGTCTGAATTAAAAAAAAAATTCTTCACTTTTTAAGCAAAATTGGCCTGAAGTTTTTCTAAGAAAAATTGCATTTTCTGCAAATACTTGTTATAATTTTGGTGGCTAATCAGTCAGATTCTCAACTCAAGCTAGGGATAGGGCAAAAAGGCCATTGTTTTTACAAAATTCCTCATTATTGTTGGTCCAATTGGTGCCATAATCTTCCCGCAATTTCCAGAGTTAAAGGAAACAATAAAAGCATTCACCAAAATCAATTGACTACTCAATAATCTTACCTAAATAACAGTCATGAACCCTAATTGCCATGATACCACGTAAATGGATCTATAAATCCTGCACATACTTGGATTACAAACACAAACAATCAAGCTGCAGCATTCAAGTGGTTTTGAGTTCAAAAGAACCCTAATTCACCAAGAAATAAAACCTGATTTCACCATTTTAGCATCTCAGTGCCAGTATCAGAAAACCCTAGGTTTACAGAACCAGAAGAAAAGTCACAAAAAGGAACCCTACTTTAAGCACCAAAATGAACATTAGAAATAAAAGAAACCTTAATTTACCATTTTTGTTAAGAATTGAGATCCGATCCGAAATGAAAAGGGATTGATAGATCTAGTGAGATGGCTCTGCGTTTGAAATCTGCAGAAACTTATATTGAAAGGGATTTAAAATCTGCAGACTCCTATATTGAAAGTGAATGAATGGAGGAATTAACGGTTTAATTAATTTTTTAAATTATCGCAAGTATTATTAATTAGCAGACTACGCTGACCTCGGAAATTGGGATTATTTTCTGAAGATTAATTAATTGCGGTGGCTTTTAATCCTGAAGATACGAGTTGCTCAGGATCACACCGATAAGCAACTGCCAAGTTTTAAATGTTTTCTTTTGTGGCCAAATTACCCCTTATATTAAGTGATTTTTGCGGAACTGCCTCTAAAGGATGTGGTTTGTATAAGGTTGCGACCTTAAACAATCCAATTAAAACGCGCCTTCAATTTTATTATGTATTTTTGGTATAAAAAATTTTTAATTTATTTTATTTTTAATTATAAAATTTTAAATTTAGAAAACGGTTAAAATCAAGTAGATCTAAAAACATATGAAAATCTTGAAAATAGACGGTCTAGATGATGTGTTGTAAAATGCATTGTTCCTTGGTATCAAAATTTTTTTTTTTTTCATATTCATCCATCTCGATGTCGAGATGATTAATTAGAATTTTTTTAACATTAAAACAATATCCTACATATTTAATTGTACATTTTAAAGTTACAACTCTTATATAAACTTTTTTTCTTGTCTAAATTATATAATTTGCCTTTCTTTTTCTGTCTTAATCAATATTCTACGTTATTTAAATCCTGAAAAAGTTTTTCCCTTTTTCTCTCTCTTCCTCACGTTGGATCTCTTCTCCCTCTCTCCAGCAACCATTTTTTTAATACTTAATTCTCTCTCTCACCCATGAAACTCATAAGTTAAAAGATGCATAAAAAATGCCATTTATACGATGAGGTTCTTAGGGGAAAAAAAAGAAGAAGGCAAATGCAGTAATTTAAACAATAGAAAAAGTAAAAAGGAGGTTTAATGTCATTTTGTTTTAACTTGGGGGTTCATGAACCGAGGGCTTATTTGGAATAACAACTTTAGAGAGGGGATATACATCTTTTCCCATATTAAATGGTGGTTTTGATTTTGAAAACTAATAATAATAATAATAATAATAATAATAATAATAATAATAATAATAATATCTAATATATTGT